TGTTCCCCAGCCGAACTAGTATACGGTACAACTCTACGTCTACCCGGTGAACTAGTTTCCCCTTCTGGCGCACAGCCCGAATCACCCGTTACATTCGTCTCCCGTCTGAAACAACACATATCCGAACTTCGTGCGACACCGACCAGACGATCAACGCGAACAGAACACATCTCAGCCGATCTCTCTTCTACATCTTTTGTGTTTGTCCGACATGACGCAACGAGGAAACCCCTCCAACCTTGTTATGATGGCCCCTTCAAGGTTATCGAACGTCACTCCAAATACTTTGTTTTAGAGAGAAGCGGAAAGCGTGATACCCTCTCCATTGATCGCCTGAAACCTGCCTACATTGAAGCACCACCGACCACATCCAGCAATCCTGCTATCCCAACAACACCCACACCTACCCAAGATATCCCACCCGCCAACCTTACTCCTTCCCTATTCGTTCGCATAATCGTTTTTTGTTTTAATACGAAAAGCTGCAAAACGCCACACTGGTCTCTGTGTGAGCGTCCCTTCTGCTGGCCCCCTTTCTTGACTTTGCTGATAGCATTAAAACGATCCGCATGAACCTGAGACTGTAAACTGAAGGGTTCACACCGCGGGTGAAACGTTGCAGGCTGCTGGCAGGGTTCACCATATTGGACAGGTGAGAGGGCTACCGATGCCGGACGCCAGTAGCTGAATAGCCGAGGCTTCGTGTATACTTTCTCTGGTCTCCAGTTTGGCTGTAACTGTGGCGACCAAAAAATTGTTCTCGTTCGGAGCCATCTGCAGTTGTTTCGTTACAAACGGCATTGAGGGGCTCATCCAAGGGTTGAAGCTGATTAATCCAGTCGACGCCCAAGAGCTCAAGGCCTGTATAGTTCGTGAGGTAGCGCGTAGCACTAAGTTGGATCCCCATGGACGTTACTGAACAGTTCAGCTTCGCGGTCAGTTTGAGGCTTCCACTAGATGCATTACGAACGGTACACTTCTTGGGTCCCACTGATGGCCTTCCAATGATATCCCAGGTTCGTTTTGAAATCAGACCGGGGTCAGAACCTGTATCAAGTTGGAGGGTAACCAGTGTGCCCTTTAGAAAACTGGTTCAGGACGGCTGGTTGTAACTTCTTTGGGATGACAACACTTTCAGAACAAAAAACATCTGTCGGTTAGTGATAGTGCGTCACGCCGCCTGAGGTAAGGTCTCAGCTCGTCTTTTGGGCAGGTACGCGTCCACTGATTGCGGTGGTACTTAATGACTTGCAGCAGCAAAGGGTCTTGGGCGGTAGCCATGGGACCATTTTGGCACTCATTGGGAGGATGCGGATCGCTTCTGATACTACGTGGTACTACCTCTGGTTCCAGGGCAATTCTTGCGACTACGGTGCCTCCGGTTCCAGGGCAATTGTTGCGACTATGGTATCTTCTGGTTCCGGTTCACTTGAATCAACAAGTCACGACAGTGTGTCGGCTTGTCCGAGGCTAGTGGTGGACTGGTACTTGATCTCAAAGTCACATCCCAGTAGCAGAGTGGCCCACTGCTGGAGGCGGTTGGCAGTATATGCCGGGATTCCTTTCTTTGAGCCAAACACAGCAAGAAGTGGCTTGTGATCGGTAGTGTAAACTGACGGTCGTAGAGCATCTTATGCAACTTTTTGTCGGCAAACACAATCACCAGAGCTTCCTTTTCTATCTGACTGTAGTTGTGCTCGGCTGATGTCAAGGATCTGGCCGCATGTGCAATGGCCTTCTGGCTGCTGTCGGGAAAAACATGCTATTCACTGCGCCATTTTCATAGTTCAAGGCATCCGGCGCCACAACAATTTTTAGGGATGGATCGTAGTGGGTGAGTAGCAAATCGGAAGTTAGCATGGATTTGACAGAGTTAAAGGCGCGTTGGCATTCTTCTGACCATATCCACTTGTGGTCTTTGGTAAGTAGGTTCGAAGCCGAGGATTCACTTGCAGTGGCCTCACTAGCTTGCGGACTCTGTCTGTTGGTTGTAATTCGTGCTTAGGCTGGGCCTCGGACGAAGCAGCTGATGGATTTTCTGGGATGGTGCCGAGATCAAAAGTGTCCAGTGTCATTTCTAGGCTCAACTCACTCCGTCCCGTGGGTAGGATCTGCGCATCTGTCGGTCGGATTTGATTTGTGTGGCGTATCCACTTGGCTGGGCCAACTTGAATCTCGTACAGCACTTTGCCACGCCGGGGGAGGATGAGTCCTGGGGTCCACGTAGGGTGTTTGCCACTGTATTCACGAACCAACACTTTCCGGCCTTTGCTGAGTGAGCGCAGGGGGCGAGATGGCCCAAGTGGTAAGAGCGCGAATTTACTGACCGGAATGTCCGCGGTTCGAATCCGACCTCCGCCACTCGGCTTCCCCTGTCTGGNGTATCCCAGCCCTCGTGCTTCATTCTGGTGGCATGGCAGCTAGGCACCGAAAGGGTGCTACAGCTGAACGCCTGAGTGAGCGCGCAGTTGCTCCTTGATGCCGGTTGAACTGGTTTTGCGGTGACTAGCTTGCCTTTTTCGTGGCCGGATAGTGTCATGTGGTGTTTGAAGCCTCCTTCGGATCAGTGCCTCTTCTGGTGACCCTCCATCAGGTCAGTTGGGTTTGTTCACTGGGAAAATTCCTGGCCATTTGCCGTAAGCATCGACCACGACCAGAAAGTGTTGGCCACCCACTGGACATACATAATCGATGTGAAGACGACACCAGGGTTCGGTCGGCTGCGGCTACGATCGTAGGTAGGTTTTCACCGGTGACCTGGATGCTTCAGCACGTCACACACGATTTTGAGACTTGTTCGACCTGGGAGTCCATCAACGGCCAGTAGACGTAACTCCGAGCAGGGGCCTTCATCCTGTTTGTTCTCGGGTATAGAGAGTGCACCAAGCCGTGCGGCAGGATCATTTGAAATGATTTACAACTTTGAAGGACCTGAACCAAGGAAAGCAATATCGACCGCATGCTCAGTGTTTATGAGCGCACACCCCGAGGTGTCAGACAAGGAGGGATGTGTCAATCAGCACATCAGTAACAAAGTTCGAGGGGGTGGTTTGAAAGAGACCTTGTCTTAACGCACTGGATGTGGTAAACTGAGGCGAGAGCTTGCCGTATGCGTCCATACGCTTTTGCATTCGTTAGTATCAAACGGGATTTAAACAATTCTGCTTATTTAAGGACCCGGAAGTTCAAGAACTTCAAAAAAGATGCATCTTTGAGTGCAAATGTATCGGAAGTCCGGCGTTGCACTGCAGATACACTATCAGTGCAGAATCGCGGGCTGCGTGACGGTCTCGAATGGGTTTATATATAGGTCGTTAATCGCGACCTTATTCTTCATGTAGTTGTAAAGGATGATAAAGCGTTCAGCTGTAGCACCCTTCCGGTGCCTAGCTGCCATGCCATTCGAAGGAAGCACGAGGGCTGGGATACTGCCAGGTTGCCCAAGCCTAGACAGGGGAAGTCGAGTGGCGGAGGTCGGATTCGAACCACGGACCTTCCAGTCAGTAAATTCGCGCCCTTACCACTTGAACCATCTCGCCCCCAAAACGATGATAAAGAATGGTTGACCTTAAGATAGAGTTGGATGGAAGCACCCAAGATTCACTGTCTTCGGTCACGATAACAGTATCCTATACTGCCTATGTGAACCTGAGTATCCAGTTCTTATTGTTGTTCCTGAATTGATTGCCTATGACGTATAGAACCTAGCTTTAGCCTCGGGCACGCTGGATAGAATCAGCTCGAGCCGGCGGTACACGGAAGATATTGGTGACCGTAATGCGAAAAGCAAAGAGAACGGTCGCACTTCAGCCTATACTTCCTCGAATTATTGAATGTTCATCTCATTGAAAGTATTCGAGAAAACATCTACGTTATTGTTTTTATTGATGACGTAGAGCACTAGCGATTCTTCGTACACATTCTCAAACAGCACCAAAGGCAGCAGCCGACTGTTGAATCTCACGATACCGTGTTCCAGATCATTTTCGCATTGATCAAAGTTCCGCCAGCTCCCCTAGACGATCCTCTATGGTTAGTTTAAAGGACCACCTTGAATACTTGTCACAAAAGGAGTGCTGGTGGAAGTTTATCGGTGCTACTTTTTGTTTCGTTTCAGTTGGACTGTTCAAGTGGACCTAATCGGAGTCAGCCTTCTGTTCCGTATTGTACCAGTTAGCACGTCTTAAAGTAGTGTTATGTACCATGTCCGTGGCTCATAGCGATCCGAACGAGCGAGATATTCACACTTCCGAAAATGTTACAACTTACCCAACGTTTGCTTCCATGGGACTGAAGATGGAACTTTTGAAAGGCATTTACAAATTCGGTATGTAGGCACACTTTCAAACATTCACAGCTCCCATTTGCTCTATTTTTGATAGGTTTTAACAAGCCGTCACTTATTCAACAGAAGGCAATCCGACCTATCGTGGACGGTCGGGACGTGATTGCACAGTAAGGTTGTGTACTTTTTCAGTGCTGTTGTGGTTTGCTTTCAGGGCTCAAAGTGGTACAGGAAAGACTGCAACGTTCAGCATCGGGACGCTGCAGAATGTGCGCTGCGAAGTCCGAAAACTTCAAGTTTTGGTTCTCTCCCCAACCCGTGAGCTCGCAAACCAAACACATCAGGTGGGTGACTTCTGTGATATCTTGCTTACGCCTAAAACACTTTAAGGCTACCATCCCTATATGATGACCGGCTTTTGTTAATTCCACCAAATTCCTGGCATGAATTTCCATCTTTTTAATCCAAACAGTTGAGGTGGTTCATCCCCACGTGTGTCTTTTATTCCTAGTGTTTTAGTGATGAAGACTATCTCACGTTGTGGAAACGTGTCCAGTTGGATCAGTCTTCGTCTGTTTTGACCATCATCTTACCACCAGTCCCATCAGAAGCGTTGTATATTAAGGACTCTATGCGCAATCTCTCCCATGCGGCGTCAATCCCTTTCTCTCTTTTTTAGTATCTCTCTCCATGAAGTGCTTTTCAGCACACTTCTGCTCCAGACTGCGATTCCTAGCTAATCTGACGTGTGACTGGCTTTTAAAAGCTTATATGACTTTTCCTGTCTGGTTACTATCGTTTGGTTGAGATCCGAATCCCAACCAACTAAGCATATAATGTACAGCAGCATAAGTGCACATGGAAAGACAACAACTCAACAGGCAGCGCACACTGAAGTATGTTTCACCCTAACTGCGCATGTCAGCTCCCCAGCCGAATTGAGACGGTATCTCATTCACCAGTTCACATGTAGTGTTTGCGAGGTGGCCCGAGTGACTAGAGCGCGAATTTACTGACCAGAAGGTCCTTGGTTCGAACCCGACTTCCGCCACTCGACTTCCCCTGTCTAGGCTTGGGCAACCTGGCAGTATCCCAGCCCTTGTGCTTCCTTCGGTTGGCATGGCAGTTAGGCACCGGAAGGGTGCTACAGCTGAACGATCATTATTGTTATTTATGTAGCGTTCGCATCCGCCAAATGAACTTGTGTTTTGGATGTGGGAAGTACCGCTGAACGGCCACTGCGAACCACACAGCTACTGACGGTACATCCTTGTAAAATCAGTAACAGTGTTTAATGCAGGATTGTAGCTCATAGGATAAATTATTACCTTTTGAAATCTACGAGTACTTTTTCTGTAATTTGTCTGAGTGAGTCTCTTCATTCAGTCTGAAATGTCTCAGCTTTTGTATTGTTGCTTTTTACGTTGTGCTCATATTCATAAGGTGCACCTAGCCTTGCAATGTATCTAATCGTATTACTCAAATCTTTCTAGTGTCTCTCTCTCTCCCCCAATATTCGAGCGCAACGTCTATTAACTAGATCACTAATAGTTGGAGTAGCCACGTCGGGCTCACCAATTATTAGTGCTCAAGTTGATAGACGTTGAGGTCGCATATTCGGAGAGAGACACTAATAAGATTTGAGTTATACGATTAGATACATTACAAGGCTAGGTGCACCTTATGAGTATAAATACAATGTAAAAAGGAAGCATACAAAAGTTGAGACTTATCAGCTTAATAAATTAAGTGAAGAGAGGCCGGATGCAGGAAGTGTTCACTTGGTAATATTATTGCCACACTGGCTCCTTGTTATTCGTGACTCGAAGTTGCTGACGCTAGATCCAAGTGCCGATGCAGCATGCATGTGAGACGCGCTGTGATGGCGAGTTCTGTTTCTTGTGTGTGTACGCGTATATATTTATGGTCTACCTCGTGATGGAGTGTGAATTCCATACAATGTTTCGGGTTCGACAGTGGCATGAAACCAGGCAATTTGTCTGAATTGTGACAAGGTTGTAAGCAATGCACATGAGGCAGCCGGTAGCAGTCGTCCAACGAGACCAAATGGTCAAAACACTGATTAAGCGGAGTTGGTTGAAGAAAAAGGGAAATGACCGCTACAAAGCTTTGAACTCTCCACTATGAGGCTCCATAGGTTGCTTTTCTACTTTGGTTGCCTCGCCGGGTAACTGCTTCCGATCAATTTATCCTTTGCTTCCACAGGTTATATCCTCGCTATCCGACTACCTTCCCATACGTTGTGTTGCGTGTTGTGGAGGACGGAGTAATGTAACCCAGATGGTCCGTGAACTGTCAAACGGTGCTCACATTGTCGTAGGCACACCCGGTCGCGTTCTTGGTAGGTTGATTGTTCACCATCCCCTAGTGATATTATCGTTGAATGATCAGTCTCTTCAAGATGCATGCCATGAAGCTAGGTTTTGACGTAAAGCTCTGTCATCCATTGACCGATGTGAACAAAGCAATAAGACCAATAAAGTTGGAAGGTGAATTCCTTTCATGCGAGACAGCATTAGGTACGTGGTGTAGTACAGCTCTTGGCATTTATTCCAGTTCAAAGCATCTTGGCAAGTGAATAAGTTGTTCACCTGTAGCAACCTTTCGGTGTCTAGCTGCCATGCCACTTGAAGGAATTAGGAGGGCCGAGATGCTCCCTGGCTGCTCAAACACAGACAGGAGAATTTGGCATGCCGAGGTTGGTTTCGAACCACATACCTAGTCAGTAAATTTGTGCTCTGGCCTCTGAGATATCTCTAGCCAACCAACAAAACCAAGACAATCTACTTCTGAGCGCAAAGGGCAGATCTAGAATGGTTAATCAAAGGATTTCAACTTTTGCGGAAATTTACTTCTTGCTAGGACCTGGAATAATGATCTAAACCGCAGCTCTACTTCCTCTGTTGCTCAAATCGATATTTTCACTCTGGATTGGATTCGTTGTGGCTGAAATGGTGCGGAGATTTTCGGACTCGTGTGTTCACCTCTCCCGAACACAAATGAGTTGGTGGCTATTTGTACTCTGGTTGTTTCCGAACTCGTCTAATCCGAGGACTGGTTAAGCGTGGACTACTACACTTCCTAGGCCTGTGTGAAATTGCTGGGCTTGTGATAGCTTACCGCTAAAATGCGAAACTATTAACTGGAAGGTCCTTGATTCAACCCCAACCCTAGCTTTTTCCTGTCTAGGCTGGGTCACCCTTGTAGGATCTCAGCCACCATGCTTCCTTCGAGTTACTGTGCACCGAACGGGTACCGCTGCTGAACGTTTTTTGTTTTCGGAATTGTATCCGACTCATGCTTCCATTAGGCCACTTTTCCATCTTACTGACTACTGCATTCCGTGTGTCGAAGTTAACGCTTTGTGGGATTCGGTGACACAGCGGTTTATCATCGTGTCAACCATATTTATCGCTCAAGTTTAAACCTCTTCACTGTTCAGACACTATAATTCAGTGTGCTTGACTGGCACGCCACACTTCTAGACCGCCCGTATGACCAAGGAAGTGCATTACTGATGGGCTCCGGGAAAGAATCTTGCCTATTGCTTGTGCCCAGCTCTGGTCCGAACCAACATAAGTGTTCCCACCGAGAATAATAACTTAACATTATCAAATGAGACCCGCGGTTCTTTTTTATTTTGATCACACTCCGCTCTTTGCATAAATGGCGTGATTTGTGGTCAGAAGTTAAAGTTTCGCTTAAAGAAGTTAATCCAGGCTTTCGAAATACAGAAACGTCAGACGGCGAGATGTGATTAATTTCTCTTCGATCCCGTATTTCCATTGGCATAAACATCGACTCCCACTGGCATAAACTAGTGGATCCGGTCGACACTAATCATTTTAATTTTCTGTCCAGTGCTGACAGGATTGAAACTGAAGGATTATGAGACAGGTGGAATGGAAAAGCTGTAGAGCACATACTAAAGGTAGCTCAGAGAACCCACAACTAGCCGAGTATCCAACCACGTTTGACGCTTGGAAATTCTGAGTTGCTTATGAACCCTTCATCTTCGTCCGTTTCTTTTTCAAACTCAAATGAATGTTCGAAAAATTTCAAGTTTCGAATAGCCACTTGCTTTGTCAGTGAGGTCAAACACCAGACAAAAGCAATAGAGTAGTTAGTGGGTGGATTCGAGCCACACAGGCCTCTTTCCTTGTCTCGAACAAAGGGCTTCCCACATTACGCTCACTATCTGCTATTATGTATGTGGATTCAGGCTTCCAGTTTCACTATTGGGGCAAATATGAGCTGCACGAACGATATGAAGGGATTCCTGCAATTTAATGAACTACTGATCATTGTGGGTTTGGCCGATACCTGTGTACTCCCAACTCCGATATTCACAGCCTTCTCATTCTTCGTGAGCTTGACGGTAGCGCTGTTCTTCGTACACCGTGTTTGAGAAAAAAGCAAATGTTTGAGTTCTTTCAACTACTTCGTGTGTTTCATCCCGCCACAGATCTGATCCGACAAGGCAGTCTACGTCTTGATTCGGTACGTTCCTTGGTGCTTGATGAAGCGGACGAAATGCTGAATCGTGGGCTTCGTACACAACTAGAAGAGATCTACCGGCGCCTGCCGTTCAGCAACGGTGACATTCAGACTTCCAATGCACCATCCACTCAAGTGGTCATCATCTCCGCGACAATGCCACATGAACAGTTGGAAGTGTTTTATCGCTTCACTAAAAATCCTGTGCAAGTACTCGTTCCAAGGTTAGTTTTATTTCATCCAACTCAGGAGGAGCTCCACCATTTGGCTCTTTCTGTCAACCATTGGATATCACATATTTGCTCAGCTGTGGCGTTCTTCACATCCATTAAGGAATACATAACTGAGGTAATGTAAGCGATTTCTCAAGTGTGGATAGGTGTTACCGAAAGGTAGGGGCTGATTGTCATCAAGTTCACTCTTGAGCTATCCAGAAATTGGTTTCCACGAAGGAAATTACACGATTCTGCCTCTTTGATGGCGGTTCCAAGGCAGGATTAAACTGGCTGTGAGCAAGTTTCAATTACCTTCTGTGTAACACTGATTTCGCGTTAGATCGAAAACGTATGGAACGATAAAAATTGTCTTCCCGCGCGGAGTTTTTAGCACGCAGAAGTTTAAGAGTCACCAGTTTATCAAGGGTTCCCTACAGCATTGATCGATCGGGTTTATTAAAAGTGTTGCGTACAGGCAAGCTGGATTGTGTACGAACGATTGGCACATATTGAGTGACGCTGGGTGCTATTGCTTTGGAGTAGTTACTGCCGGTTTGGTTCATCTCGTCTTCATCATCGTCATCATCGGCAGCATGACATCAGTGTTCCAACCTAATGCTTCGCTGTCGTACAGCCGTGATTTATTTGAAAGCCTTGCTGTGAAGAAAAGAATAACACAATCATTCTGGGGTACCTGCACCTTCAGGCACCCTTTTAGGTAGTCAGGGTAGAAATTGACAACAGGAACACTATTTACATCAATTAGTAGCCATATCTTGCAGTATCCCTAACCACACGCAGTGAGGACCACGCGGTTCCCATCCTGGAAGGCGAGTAGCAACTACATCACCCAAACGTTTCGTAATCTCTTTCATGTCCTTCTGGCAGCTCAAGCTTTGGAAACCTCCGCTTCCGCCACTCTGAATTGGGCACGGAAAACAGCACTGTCTTCGGCAAACAATGGTTCAGCATACGCGATACACGGCCTAACCAACACAGCTTCTGGTACTGGACACATTTTTTGATGGAAGTCTCCGATGCAGAACAGAAAACTGGTTTTCCGATTGTCTCGTTACGGCTTCGGCGACAGCAACCCACACGGGGTATGGTTCCAAGACACCGGTTTCCAAAGACCTGATGACCTCTCAGACGTCTCGCAGAGACCAAGTCTCATCCATACACAGCTCGCACTGCAGCCTGACACATAAGTCTCTTGACATTTAAGGGTATACCCATTTGATGTCATAGATGCCTCAGATTAGCAAACGTGACCCGAGCCTTGCAGATTCGTGCATTGACCTCATCTGTTACACTACACTCAGAACTAACACAACTTCCTAGATGCGTCAAACGCTCCGCAAAATCGAGTGCCTCTCCCTGGATTGTAAGTGGCTTGTTCAGTGACTGCACATCAGGAGCATGACTATACTTTTTGGGTGAAAATTTCATGCCAGAGGACGAGATGACTTTGACCAGTTCACGCAAAAACGAAAACAATGTCGAATGCATATCCCATAGGTTTTTCGGCGGCTAATCGAGCACTTCCAGCTTTTAACCAATTAGCTGGTGGGTCATGTAGGAGTGCAGAGAGTGGGCATCCTTGCCGGGCACCACTTTGTATACGGAAGCTTTTGGAGAGCTCTCTCTATACTGCTAAACTCCTGGAAGTCTGTAAGTACCAGAAAATTTCCGGGAATAGCTTGCTGAGTGGACGCGTCAAGGATGTCAACAGAATCGCATGAACCTTGTAAATCCAAGAACACTAAAATTGTGGAGTTTTTAGCATCTGGCGGAGCGTGAAGATTTGTCAATGCGAGCCCGAACAGATCGGAGTCTCGCTTACTGCTCTCTTGTCAATACGTAACATGCCACCACAATCCGACGAAGTACAAGTGACACTGATAGTCTCGTTACGATTGGAGTCAAGCTTTTTGCTATGTGATTAGCGTATTCAGTACGTGCCCCCTTTTGACAACGACAACTCTTGCAAACCCCCTTTTTTCCTTCCATCCACTCAAGGCAAGCCGATTAGACAAACGCTGGCTGAGGGCTTCTTCCCCATCCTCGAGTTATGCAGACGGGAGATACGCCATAGCAGCAGCTCGGTGACTCGTGAGAGAAGATATGCGGTCGTAAACCTCAGTGCGCGGCTCCTAGTTCACCACACAGTGTTCATTTATGTGAATCCGAAAATGACAACAAGTGGCCACGAGAGTCGTTGTTCAAAGTGCTCGACCCAGCGCTCGAGAATTCCTTTACTGGTCGCTTTGGTTCGATACTTGATGGCTTCGTTAACTGTCGGTTCTCGGTGGTCGATCACATTCCTCCCAGCGCGCCAAAACTAAGGTATAGGGCCGCTTACAGCCCTCATCCAAGGCTCTTGCTCAGAGCTCCAACCGGGTGTGAGACTCCGTGAGTATCACAGAACACACCCCCAGTGTAGCTCACTGAGCCTCCAAGGCACACGGACTATCACACCACAGGAAGGCCCAGTCTCTCCGTGATGGACTAAAAGGATCACTGTACTTAGGATATCGTTAAGATCTTCACAAAGAAAGAAAAAGTATAAGCACACCTGGATATGTATCGGTTACTCTTCCTTCAGGATGTCCCTTGCATCTAAAGAGTTTCGAGTTGTGATTCTGACCTCTGAACATACCCTATGCAATTCGGAAAGAATCACTGGTGATTGTGGGGAATAGTTGTATTCGCTCCAGAACTCCGCAATTTTTGAGATGGATAACATACGACTTGGCAGAGGGTATTAGTCGTAAGTGGCTCGAGATGGCCCAAGTGGTTAGAGCGCGAAATTACTGACTGGAAGGTCCGTGGTTCGAACCCGACATCCGCCACTCGACTTCCCCTGTCTAGGCTTGGGCAACCTGGCAGTATCCCAGCCCTCGTGCTTCCTTCGGGTGGCATGGCAGTTGGGCACCGAAAGGGTGCTACAGCTGAACGATTTATTTTTTATTTATTTTGCGGTCGGCCTTCCAAAATAGGTTCTCCTTGATCCACTGTCTGATTGACTGGAGATGTTTTAAGAAGTGGCTGCTAACTTGTGTCAGTGATGTTCGTGCTGTCAGTTTCTTTCCAGATTGTCTCATCGCGCTTATTTAACCCTCTTTTGAGGCAGATGCCGAGTCTCTTTAAAACCAGTTTTTTGTAAACAAATCTTAATTGTACTTAGTGATAACGGCTACTCTTCCTAAGTTTCTGCCTTTTTGATTCCAAAAGTTACTGTTTCATAATGGGATCCCACCTTCTTGGTATACCTCACCAATGATTTCTTCGCAAGTCACCAACTACACCGTTTTTACCTTAAAATTCAGAAATTGAACATGATCAGACAATGTGGCAGTACCCCCACCAAGCCCCAAGCAACTATTTTCTACCGGTCACTTGAAGGTCCTTTTGATGACTGTTCTACTGCGTTTATTGATTTTTCGATGGCTTTTATCAAAATCGGGCCGGTCAGCCGATCGACTTTACACAGTACTGCGGTTTCCTACCGACAGATCCATAAGACATTTGGCTACTTATGAGTAGCCACCCATTTCCTCTTTTCGTCTCAGTGACGGATTCGATAGAAGCGTGATCATTGTCCAGGGTAGTGGCCATTCTTTGGTAGCTCGATGTGGTTCAGTGGCCGGAAGGTCCGTGGTTCAAACCCAACCGCGGCATCTCAGGATCTAGGTCTGGGTAACCTGACAATATCTCATCCCTCGTGCTTTCTTCACGTGGCATGGCAATTGTGCACCGAAAAAGTGTTGCAGCCGAACGATCATTATTACTATTTTCCTCGGGGAGTTTTTCTCGGGAGGGGAGGCTATCGTTGTTCCTTGTTATACATGTGTTCAACAATGAAGATGATTACTCACCGCCACTTCTTTCTGCCCCTAAATGATGGGCTGCATTCGCGTTGTGATGTGCACTCGTTCATTGTCGGATATTTTGGATGAGCACTCTCCTGTTTATTCGTTAATTTGCCGTCATATTCCATTTGACGACGTAGCAGTGTCGTACGCCTTCGCTTGTTTCCGTCGGTGTCCACAGGGGATTTATTGACTGTTTCTTTTCTTTGCACATAGGGACGAGCTCACTCTGGCCGGATTACATCAATTTTACATCGATGTTGGAAGTGAGGAATGGAAGTTCGAGGCGCTGGGGGATCTGTTTGCCAGCGTCTGTGTCCCACAAACTGTCGTATTTGTCAACACAAGGCGCAAGGCTGATTGGCTGAGCACCCAGCTGCGACGAGACAGTTACACCGTAGAAACCGCTCATGGGGATTTGGACCAAGCGTTGCGCGAAACTGTCATGGAGCGCTTCCGGTCTGGTACAAGGTACTTAGATGTTTTTTCCTTGTTGTAGATCCATACAGCTTGAGTTTGAAGGTGAGCAGTTCAAGTGTTGCCTTCATCGATTTAGGGTAATGAATTCCTCACTGTGTGCTGACCTCGCAACCCACACCACTTTTCATACGCATTCTTGCCTGTAGCACAAGGGCGCCATTTCTCTTAGGTGGGAAACGATGCCCCTGAGATGTTGCCGATAATTGTAGCCCAGCTGATCAACAAACAACAAGCTGAGCAACATTCCAGATACTCTTTGGTGCAGCTTACGCCACAGGATTTATCAACTCAATTGCACACGCGATAGTGTGATCTTTGATACTAGACCGTTCCTGTTATCTGTTGCTGCCCTCCCTTCTATATGTATTTTTTAGTGCTATCTCAGTACCCAAATGACAAATTGGTAATGACTTATTTCCTGTTACGGGTGGTGGTGGTCACACGCCCATCTTTCTCTACAATGTGACTTCGATTGTGTGTGAGGGGGTAGTAATACGGCAGTCTGAAAATGTTTGCCTTAAGTTGTTACCTCTGATGTTTTATTGCATTCTCCTTATACCCCATATCGGTCGTGCACAAGAACGCAGCGTCTGGAAATGCGATGTCCTTCGTGCGCAGTCGGTAAAAGACCAACCTAATCGAACACACTAGAATCTTTTCTGTACCTCACTGTGGTTCTTACTTCGTTCAACCAAAGTCACATGACACCTTTATCTACGTATCGTCGTTTTGAGTTTCAATTCGTGATAGAGTTGTTTTTTCCCCATCATTTCTATCCCAAAAGTCGAATCCTCGTATGTAGTGACATTTGGGCCCGGGGTATCGACGTCCAAAATGTGGGTCTGGTTGTCAACTACGACTTGCCCGCCACCCCCAGTGACTACTTACATCGTATTGGACGCTCCGGTCGATTCGGACGTCGTGGACTAGCTGTGAGCTTCGTAGCTGGTGCCGACGATCGCCGCAAGCTCGATAGCATTGCACGTCAATATCGGATTGCCATACCACCAGCACCGGCTGCTCTTGACAAAATGCTCACCTGGTCAGAATCACCGATGTCCGTGGATCCTGCTCCGACCAGTTTGTCTGCTCAGGAACTGAAAAGTGTCGCACAATTGGTTAAGGCCAAAGGAAGGAAAAGAAAACGACCGAAGAAGAAGAAGAAAGAGAAAATATCGTCCCAATGAAGTACCAATTTTAATTTCTTCATCCTGTACAGTTATCATTCTTTTAACAATGACCATCTGAATCAAACGCTGCCTTTTAGTTTCCGCTTTGTTGCGAATAGTAGAGTGGAGCAGGCGATTGACGAATCCCACGTCACACTTTCCCCAGATTGGCAATGGTTTATTTGCTATTTCTGGAAATCCTAATTGACATTGGTTTGACTGAAGTAATGGTTTCGAAGGCATACCTCGATGGGTAACTGTGTCAATCTGTCCCCTGTGAAATGGTTGTGTTCTTGGGCAGTCCAAATTTACGATAATTTCCATGTATGATCCTTTTTCTACACTAAACACGGGGGAGGGCAAATGCGAAGTGTATTCAATCCCTTCAACATTCGCCGAACTTGGTTGTTATTCCGAAGTAAATTCTTTGAGTTCGTGGGCAAGTTGTGTTCGTTTGTAGTCGTGTTCTGGTCTTTCTTTCCTTGACTGATGCCTTCTAACGTCTGAGTCGTATTCAGTAGTTCGGACTATTCAGCTGAAGTGGTTAGAGCGCGAATTTACTGACCGGAAGGTCTGTGGTTCGAACCCGACATCTGCCTCTCGACTTCTATCTAGGCCTGGGCAAACTGGCGGTATCCCAGCCCTCATACTTCCTTCGGGTGGCATGACACTTGGGCACGAAAAGTGTGTTGCAACTAAAAAAGGATAGCAGTATATTCGTTCCACTGTTTTCCACACTTGCAAAGATGTAGAGTTTATAAAAAAGGATAGCCATATATTCGTTCCACTGTTTTCCACACTTGGAAAGATGTAGAGTTTGTCAGGTCACACAACGTGCACTTGTGCACAGTTCTTGACCGAATGAATAGACTGAATTAAGTCGTAACACCGTACGCTTTCTCAACGCTTTTCATTGCAATACCTCCTAGTGTTTTGACACACCGGGTTTAAAATACACGCTAAACGCCTATTTCCATTCAGACATGTTGGCCTCACACCGAAATACTCTAGAACTCGTATGGTGACGTGTCCCGTTTCCCATGGAGACTAGTTCTGTGTGATGTCATGATGGGTTTAAGTGGTGAAAGTTTGGATATGCCCAATGCTCTATTAGACTCGCCTGGATGTGGCCAATCTTTGGAAAACCCGTCTTATGTATTTCGTGTAATGGCCTTTGCGGTAGTGTGACTGAGATGCATCTGCTGGAGTTCCTGCCTTCTACGGTCCTGTGCTCTTCTCGTCGTTTATGTTAATTACTTTGCAACAATCACACTGTTCGACCTTTGCCCATGTGAATAGAGTAGCAAGTTACCGGGATGCAATCACTGCACCTACGCCGTAGGCTGAAATGCAAGTTAATGCACAATTAGACGTCAGAGAACGTGACGATTTGCATACCTTAGTAACTCTGTGACACTCAAGGTCCTACCAGTTTAGTGAATAGCTAGAGGTCTGATATACTTACTCTTCTGTCCCTCGGAGTTGGAATGAGTGTGGCAATTTCTTCCTTAAAATATGAACTACTCAGTTTGTTTTACGTCAACCAGTGCAGCCTTATTATCAGGCCTTTGAGTCAAACGCTTTAGTTGGGGACATTTGTCGCCTAGGATTGCGTGCCCATCGTGCGTCCCACATGCACGTGAGCTTTACAGCCAAGAGTGTCTTCGTGCCACATTGTCCGTCACTTGTTGATATCACCTTGGTTGCATTATTCTTAGTTGGGGACATTTGTCGCCTAGGATTGGGTGCCCATCGTGCATCCCACATGCACGTGAGCTTTACAGCTAAGAGTGTCTTCGTGCCACATCGTCCGTCACTTGTCGATATCACCTTGGTTGCATTATTCGCCACGTACAACAGAGCCGATAAGCGAAAACACATCACCTCTAATCTTTTTTCATTCTTATCTCTCCCGTCCTGTCCCATTTGACAGTCACTCTTATCTCGACCCCAGATGTGAGCATGTCAATCAGACTCCTAACAATTTGACACATCTACAGCTCCACATCCGTTATTTAGGCTTCGTTCCCCTGGTTCTGTTGTATCTTTTAAAGGTAGGTCAGCTCACAAGCCCGTCTTGTGCATTACTAGATACTCCGTGTGCTGCCTTTCCAAACCTCGAATACAAGATCCAACTTGGGCTTCCGACACTCTTTTCACCCGGCCATTATCGGTAATGAACTGCAATGGATGCTGCAGCGTCATTCATGTACTCAGTTCGCGAGCTGAGGCTGTGAACAGCCACCTCTGTGTCGTCCAATTCTCCACTTCCATGGGAACTCAGATGGGTTGAAATACTGAGCGCTGTTTGTTTGTCGTGCTCATTTATGCACCAAGGGACTCAATCGTTCGAGGACAACTTCTGTCGACACTCTCTCGTTTTTGTCACGAGGAGTTCGCAGTTATGTTAGCAGAAGATTTCAATGCATAGGTACGATAACACGCCCTGATGGTATGTATAGTGTGGACACACAACACAGTGATACTGGTGAATATCTCTTTAAACTGTGTACTGAAATCCACTTTTTTCAAGATCACTGGATTTGAAGACAACGCTCCCTGGCATCCGCTGTTGCTGAGCAACTCTTGCATCAAACTAACCATGTCGCTATCAGTCCAGTCTGATTTATGGTCGTCTGAAATAGACAGGTTGTTTCAAAGCGCATTCTATTCCATTAAGTTTTCCCCCTAAACCGAAGAAGGGCTGTCAACTTAGCAGTAGAATGGCTTTGTGAGCCACAAGTTAGGGAACCATACCAGAGGCTGTTATGCATTGCTCTATAAGAGGCCGCCTCTAGCACCGGAGCGAGATAACAGCAGGGAAACTCTTGTTTTGTTCTTTCTGAGCACCTACAAAGAAACACCGGATTTTGGAACGATTGCTTCCACTCCTTGATGAAACGCTCTGAGGTAGAATATAATTTGATCAAACGGGCGATTAGACAACAGCTCAAAGTTGGACAGAGAGCCGTGGAAATTACGACAAACAGAAGAGATCAGTCTGGCTAGAAATGTACAAAATCCCTCTCAACGAATCCCCAAGACAAAACTTTGGTCGTTGAGTTCGTCAAACCTAGTACTGGGAACCCACAATATGATGAACAGTGTAGGTCGGTAGTCGGACTACCTTGAACAATAGTTTAACGAATTCCCCCCTCCCTCCTGCACGTATACGCTTCACTAAGCTCGCTTATTTTGATTGATGGTCTGTGAGCTTAGACCCCATCCGTATCGATTTCAGAAGTACGAATATGCCTCGCGGCGCCACGGAGTCTGTGAACCTACAGCGTCATCCAAATATTAAGGTATTTCGCCCCCACTAGGTTGTTCATGCGTATTTAGAGACAACGCGTATTCCAAGGAAATGGTTTCATATGGTGTTCGCCCCCCCCCCTTCCAACAATAGGTTTACATGCTTCACGCTTGTCGCAGCATGACTACTGCAACGCCCATCTTCTGTGCGTGAAACGCAAGTTCGAGAACATTATTCAAGATTTTGGCCTGCTAATCGGGTGGGTGGGTACATTAACCGTATCTTCAAATTACGTCAAAGCTTCGAGCAGCGCTGCGTATACCACCGACCAGCAATTATGGTTTTCTTCGACTTCAAGCAGGCCTGCGACTGACTGTTCTAAATATTTTTTGTCAGAGGAGGATGTCCTTGAAGTTCGTAGGCATTCTTCGTGCCTTGTATTACCATATCTGGGTCGGGTTAAGGTGTGCAATGAAATGTCCAGAAACATCCTGTTAACCAGTGGAGTTCATTAGGTTTGTCCTATCACTGTCTTATTATTCATTTTTATTACGCGTGTCGGCATGAGTGCACACTCAGAGACCATCGTCTGGTGTGGCCACATCTGGAGAGAGATGACTTAGCTTAGGTTATGTAGACTACACCGTTTTGTGGTTTGACGATTACTTGCCCGCACAGTGTGCTCTAAACAGGATATCGGGTGCGGTTCCACGTTTCAGAATGCGTTTCGAATTTTTAGAGCGAAAGGCATTTCTTCAAGAATTACTACCCTTGTGTACCTTTCTGAAGCTTTAGAATGAAGAACTTGATTTTGTTGATCCGTCCTCTAAAGCTGCATACACCGTGATTGTACTAGAACGGATGCGGTTACTTCACTAATAATCAAGGCGTGAGCACCGTTCGTCAGCTTGCCTCATTCATGGCATCAGAAACAAATTTCGTTGAAACAAAAGGCTATCTGTACGATAAGGGCAGTCTTACTTTATGGCTGAGGAACTTGGCTACTCCAACACGAAGACTAGGAGTCTTCAAAGGTTCGGTCATTTGTGCCTCCGCAGCATTGCAAAAGTTTGTAGAATTTATGCAACGGTGTGGTGCGCAAGCGGGGACCGGGAAACCAATCATAATTCTTACAGCAACGATTAAATTAGTTGAACATATCCAAACAGCATCCATCCAAGGAGACGTTGTTTCTGTTGCAATCCCTTGTTGGCTAAAGGCTGGTGGAAGACAAGTTGCCACAAGACAACGTGGAACACGGGCGATTACAGTCAGACTGAATGCTGTGGGATCTTTATGATCTCCCGACTGAGGTCCGCGTTTTGGTTGCACGTGACTTACACGCGACTCCAGCGCGCGCATGTTGTCACTTCCATGCCAAACTGCTTAGCTAAACTTCACTTGTCTTACACTAGACCTTAGTCCAGTGATTTTCTCAAAAGATGCTCGTTCAATTCCTCTGATGACGTGTTACTACCACATGGTATTCAGATGTGATCATTTTAATACTGTTCAACGTTGTGGGTGCCTTATTCTTGATAGTCTTCACTAAGCACATGGGACTGCTTTGCACTGAGTTCAACCCTTCCACCTTCTTTCCTTCCCTGATGATTGTGTGGCAGTGAAGTGCCAGTGAACGTTGGATACTACTGATGAGGCATGCGAGTAGTATGTTTTCTCGTAAATCCGCTTCGCGTCTACTGAAGAGTGAATTTTCTCACGAAATTTGTGGAATTGCTTTGTAGCATTCGTTTACATTTGGGTGATAGTCAATGATTATCCATGAAGTTTCGGAAAGCCGCGTTAGATAAGAAGGTGGATATTCAGTTTTTATAAGCAAGATGCATATGAGAGTTTTGCTTCCCTGCCCAGTAGTTTGTAACCGTTCAGTTGGTGTTTTCCAGTAAATAGTCCCGTTCAGTCGGTGTTTTCCAGTAAATAGTTCTGCAGTGAAGGCTTTTTTCCTTTCACCAGTACCTCTAGGCGCTCCGTCGAACACTCCAACATCATGGTTTATGTAGCCAACCAATCAGAGTTCATACCTTTTTCTCCGGTGACACTCTA